GTTTTGTCATTAAAGATTTGACAGATTCGAGGATTTAATTTGTAAGAAAGTATCTCATGGGAATTCTTTTCTGAGTGATTATGGGGTTTTAACTTTCCTCAATTGATGGTAAAAATTGAATTAGCATCGAGGATATCGAATTTTGCATTGGTCTTGGAGTTGTGAATATTAAATTTCTATGTTATAATTCTAGCACTATGGAATAAAAGAGTTCTAATATCTTGGAACAAAGAGAACAAGGTCATTTGTGTGCACAAAATGGAGATTATATATTAGGTGAACTTTGATGTCATACATATATAAATCATGTGGATTTGAAAAGGATTGAAATGATGATTTATTAGAAGAAATCTAAAGTGGTATGGAAGTTTTATGGATGTTGATTTTGTAGGACACTATAGGAGTTTTCTGGAAAAAAAAAATTATTATATCACACATGATTCGAAGTTAGAGTGAAATGATGGTTTTTGTTTTTTTTTTTTTCATATTGAGGAATTACCCGTACAGTGGAAGACTTGGAAAATTTTTACTAATTTTAAGAGTAAGTCTCTCTTGTTAAATAGACGTGAATATGAGACATAAAAATAGTGCTTAGAATTTTGAAGGATGATGATATGATATCTTAGTAAGGTTAACAAGGTTGCAAATTCTTTGAGTAGGAAGTTCTTGTCTAGTTTACCATATTTGGTTACTAAAAGTTGTTTTGAGGGGATTAGATAAATATGAAAGTTAGATTATGAGTGTGTTTGGGTAAATTCTTAACTGCTTGTAAGTGTAGCTTAGTCAATAAAAAACATTGGAACTACACATGTAGAATAATAATTTGCTCGAGGAAGGAAGCTAGTTGGAGACATGATTTAAAATGGTGCTTATTGAGAATTATGGTAATAATTCAGTCAAGGATGGTGAATTTGGTTGTCATTAATAGGTTGATTAAGTTTGCTGATTTCTTCACATCAATATTGGTATGTCAATAGATAGACTGGTAGAGTAATACGATAAGGAAATAGGAAGGATTATTGTATTGATCACTTAATTTATCTTGTGATTTTAAGGAATTAATGAAGAAGGTTTGGTAAAATTAAGGTTTGAGGTTTAAAATTATGATGAATTATTTCTTTGAATAGTGGTAAATGATTTTGGTCGATTTATGACTTAACAAAGTTTAGAAATTGTGATCATGAACTGGAGGGGATTAATTTAAGTTGTTATGCAAAGATTAATTTCTAATACCTATAAGGTCTTATGATTGATTGATGAGTTATTCATGAAAATCTAGGAAACCATGACACTACCTTTATTTTAGGAGGATGATCGAAGAGGAAATTATAAAGAAGGTATGGCATCATTGCTGTGAAATTATAGTAGGGTACCCATAACGAGAAGGGAAACAACGTAAAAGTTGGATGAGGAATGAGGAAATGAAAAAGAAATATCGGGAGTTGTTCAGAGGCATGTTGAGAGCTTGCATTTTAGATTTGAAAGGTGCTTGGGATGAACATTTGCCCTTAGTTGAGTTACCTGCAATAATAGTCATCGGGCGAGTATCCAAATGGCGCCTTATGAGGCTTTATATGGCAGGAAATGTAGGTCCCCAATATGTTTGGATGATGTGGGAGAAAGAAGAACGTTAAGATCGAAACTTGTTCAGCAAACCGTAGAGAAGATACAACTAATCAAAGAATGCCTTTGCGTAGCTCAAGTTGGCAAAAGAGTTATGTTAATAATTAGAGGCGTGGTCTAGAATTTCGAATGGGAGAAAAGGATTTCTTGAAAGTTTCACCAACTAGAGGAGTCATGAGGTTTGGGATCCAAGGAAAACTTAGTCCTCGATTTATCGGTCTTTTGAGATTTTAGAGAAAGTTGGAAAAGTAGTCGACATATTAGCACTACCACCTAATTTGCTAGAAGCTCATAATGTTTTCCATGCCTCCATGTTAAGGAAATATGTTTCAGACCCTAACCATATAATTGAGCATTCTCCATTTTAACTTAAAGAAGATTTGTCTTACGAGGAGCGTCTGGTTCGTATTGTGGATAGAAAGGAACGGGTGCTAAGAAGATGAATAATTCCTTATGTTAAGATTCAATGGAGTAATCATATTGAACGTGAAGCCACATGGGAGTTAGAGAAGGATGCGAGGAAGAAGTACCCATACGTATTTGTCGATGTAAGTACGAGTTTAGGGACTAAACTCTTTTAAGGGGGAAAGGATGTAATACCCAAGGATTTCTTACTTAAGATTTAAATAAATTATTTAAGCTCTTAGGGGGTGTATATGTGATAGAATTAAATTTGGAGTTGAAATTATAATGATGTAAGGAGCTCAGGGACTAGAACCTTATAATTAAAGCTTAGGGACGAATTAACAATATTTCCTTTTTGTAAAAAGCCCCAAATCAAGTGAGTGGGCAGTTTCATTTTTCCCACTTTCTTTTTGGGGAAATAGGATCGTCACCTTTCTTCCGCCTGCAAATAGGAAACGGGCTAGGGGTTGGCAGAAATTCTGTAATGCTACCGCCCACTTCTGAAGGTGCTGTCGCCCATTTGTGAAAGCATAGAAAGGGGCTTCCGTCCGATAGATTGTCGGGTTAGTCGAATTGAGGAAATTTTAGGGTAAGTTTCCCAATTATGTGATGGTTTTGTTCTTAGATCTAATTTTATAATTAAGAATGTAAATTGGAAGAGGAATTGAGAGAATTTTGGAATTTTATTTCATGTCAGATTCGATTCTAACAATATGGGCTACGATTTGTAGATCTTTTCAATTCTAACAAAGAAGATGTAGGAAAGTTTTAAATAATTCAAGAGGCAGCGTCGAGTGAAAAATTGATTAATAATTCGAGGTAAGTTGTTATATCCTCTAGTATTATTTTTAAAAGGTTTGTTTTATTGAAATTTATTTTACATTTTCAACGTATTTTATATAATTTTATTTGGTTACTATGTCTTAAGAATAAGAATATTTTATAATGAAATGAGATGAATGTTAATCAAGCATTTTGAGTGCGGACTATTTTCTATCGAAGAGTGTGGTTTATTAAATTGGAAATAATTTTTCTTTTGATATTGGGTTTTCATGTTCTTGGTTGGCTGGATAAATTAACCCGCTCCTTAGGGGTATACTGAGGGTATTGATAGTAGTCCCGGGATCTATTTATCATGGAGTGTTATGTGGAGTGTGATGCTATATTTGGAGTGTGATGTAGCCTAAAGAACTTGAAATTGTTGTTTCTTTTTATCTAGTTTGGAATGTGGTTTCCTTATTGAAAAGTTGTTTACTTTATTTAATTATTATTTCATTGAAATACAATGCTTGATCGAACTAGATGGGTATACTCTTACTGAGCTGTCTAGCTTATGCTTTTAAAATCTCATTTCATTTCAACTACAGACGAGTAAGCATTTGGGATTGCATTTGGGAGTGGAGGCACAACGATTCTAGAGTAGTTCTTTGGTTTAGTTTAAGTTATTTTGGATTGTGGAATAATTAGAATTGAAGATCTATTTGCTATGACTTATTGCTATTAAATTTTATGTTGGATTTTATGAAGTGAGGATTAAGTGTTTTGGATTTGACCAACTTCTCGTACATGTTAATAAAGATGTAGTTTCTTATAGAATTTAATTTTATTGCATTTAAACATTAACAGTTGTTTAGTTAAAGTAACTTTATATATTTATGAGGTCATCCTTATACATGTGTAGTGTTTGTTACGTCTTGACTTTGGGGTTGGGGCGTGACAATAATGGATGTTGAAATTGAAGTCTCACATTTTTATTAAAATAAAATTATTTTTTACAAAAAGATATGTACCCGTTTGCAAGGTTTTTAAAATCGGACCGGATCGGTCGGTTGAACCGGTCGGACCGGTACCGGTGATGAAAACGGTTCGATTCACATAAAAAAACCGTTTGAGGTCAAAATCGGTCAAAACCAGTAAAAACCGGTCAAAAATCGATAAAACCGATAAAAATCAATAAAAATCGATAAAATCGATAAAAACCGATAAAACCGATAAAACCAGAAAAATCACCGGTTCAATTTCTCATGCAATCTTCTTTCAATTTTTCCCAATTTCACCCTTCCCATTCTTTTCTTATACCCATTTTAACCTTTAACTTTAACAAAATTACAAAATTATCAACACCAAATAAAAAAATCCATGCCTATAGCTTGCTCCTCTCATCAAACCTTCTTTATTGTTTGGATCG